GGGAGTGTCCCAAGTGCTGTGATTCTGATTTCAACGATGGTCGCAGGCGGGCTTGCAAACCTCCGCCAGTTGGACAGGACTTTCTATAGTGCATCTTTTTCAAACCATTTATCTTAAAACGATTTACAAACAAACTATTCACCGCTAAAAAAAAAGAATAAACGTATGTTCCCAAAAAAAAAAAAAAAAAACAAACGACCGTACCGAGAACAGAACCACCATCTCCACATCATTATCACAAAGCAGCAGCTGCGGTGGCTTAATGTTAAGTCTTACACACACAAACGTCTGACAGCTCACAGTTGACCTTTTTATGCCTGTTGTTCGTCCATTTCTGGTTTGTTCAGGGCATGAGTTTTGGGTCTGCATCCGTACCTGGCTTATTTGTATGCAGATTGTTGGTTCCTTGGAGTAAAGACAGATGATGGGTCTATAGCATCATATCTTATATGCGCCAGGGGATTAGCAAAGTGTATTTACTCTGCTAGTTGGCACCAGCGATCACGCCAGACAATCGGTCCAATGTTTCCTCATCAGAGAAATGTGACATCTCCACTCCATAAATAGAACAGACTTGAGAGACCATACATGGACAGAATAACTCAATGGAAGGTGAGTAGAGGCTCTGGGAGACTAACACTTACAAGGAAACACAGGCGAGGTTTTCATCATGTTCAAATCAGTACTATTAGCCTGTCGAGTCCTCGCGGGAATTCTGATAAAGACGAAGCACGTGTGGAATTGTCTCGAGTGCAGTGATGTCAATTCTTGATTAATTCATTCACTTCATGTGGGTTGCTCGATCCAGGCGGCAGAGAAAAACAGACCTACTGTCTACCCAACAAGCATGTCATAAGAGCCGTCTGAGTAATGTTACCTTTGAAGTCGAGAGTTGCATCTACCTGAGGCACGGAACCAAGAGTCTGCCTACAAATAAGCTAGATCTGTAAACCGGGTGTACATGCTAAACTCAAGCTCTTAAAACAGGTGGACGAATAACCCGAATTTTGCGCCGGTGAAAGAGAAAAGACGATTAACCATCCATTCATGCGAGCCAGACTTCTCTCTGACAGCAAAGCTCCGGCAAGTCTTCTAAGACATGTTTTGAGGGTGTGATCTGGTGCTCCAAACAAACACATGTGAAACAAGCCACGATTCACACTTACTAACGAACTTATCCTGTTTACTAAAGAAGCTTGGATATGGGCTTGGCCTTCCACTCACCAGATTCTTTGCTGGGGATCTTATAGGCATGGAGTAGACATAGGTTCAACGAGTAGAATTATTCTTTCCTTCATGTCTCTCCTCTTCTATAAAAACACCCCCCCCCCCCCATCTTTAGGTTTAGCTTCTAGTATAAGTTTCTCAAAACGGGGAAAACTATCACCAACTAAGTTTCATTGCTATCTGTGACAATCGATGTCTTTGTTGAAACATTTTAGATCAAGCAATTTTAGTCTCACTTTAACATTGTCGGTTCCATACAGTGCGCAGTATAATAATCCTTGTATGTCACAGCCAATAAATAATGTGTTTTATATTTAGTAATGCTCGGGCAGTTGATTAAAACCCTCTGCGCAGGCGACAAACTCCCTGTGACGCGGGTTCACGCCCAGATTTACGGTATCTATCATGGAATCAAGGCCAAAGGGTTTACAACTCATGGTTTCTGAATACCTAAAAAAATTGGCCAAACCATACTCCGCAAATCTAGCTTCTCCACTGAAGTTAGTTCCTGCCTAGCATTTATAATTTGAACCCCAGTTAGGGTTTGCTGCCAAATCTGTTGGTACCGAAGAAGTTAAAACCTAGGGAATTAATGGCACATTTATTGTGGCCCTAGTTAAGAATGAACAGCCTTGCAGATAACACCAAGATGTCTGATACAGATCATTTCATTAATCAGTTGCCGAGTCAGTCTGAACCAACTTTAGTTCACAAGAAAGCTGGCACACGAAAAAACAGTAACAAGATTCGGGTTTAATGGCACTGTTCACCTAAACTTTGGGACTTTCCACGAACATTAACACTGTCAGTAAAACTATACAACTATGAAAACTATCGTGTGACAAGCAGATCAACGTTAGCCATCGCAATCCATCTAACAGGATCACCAGTGTCGGGTTTTGTCTTTATCCTTGTTTCTGTGACTACTCCACCCATCCAAGACCTTATTCGTCTTCATTCATCCGAGGCCGTACATGTGTTGCGCCAGTTTACAACATGGCTATTGTCACGTTTCATCGCCTCTGAAGTATATTTCTCCTACAAAGATGCACAATCATTCTCTTGCCAGAACACATCTTACACCAGCAACCAGTTTTCAGCTGCTGTTCCTTGACCCCTTTGCTGTCTGTAGAATTACTACCCCAAGGATTGGGATTTAACAGGAGCAAAATCCAGAAGTACCAGTTCAACTGTCTCAAAGTTACATCAAAGTCAACCCTGTTTACCATACAGCCTGCAGTCTAGTAGTGGAGATAGAAGCAGTGCCGTATGGGCACTTGCCCCAGGTTCCTACCAGCATAGGACCGCCCCATCCTAATTTGAGTATTTCAAGTGATATCATTATCATAAAATACATTGCCGACTGGCGTTGGCGATCATGCCTCCACACAATCTTCGTGTCAAGTGACAGGCCAAAAAAAAACAAAAAAACTAAGTTCTCATAGGGCAATGATTTGCCCAGGGGCCCATAATGCTGTTCGGGCGGCTCTGGATGGAAGTTATTTCAAGACTGATGATTCAGTTTTCAGTTTGTTTCTTCAAGGACTGCCTGATTAATTGTCCTGTTGGTACTACACTTTACAGGGCGCTGCGGCAACTAGACCCTCACCACAGACCTGAAAGTCGTGGGCTCAAACCCTAAAGGAACATTTTTCTTTCAAAAATAACCGTGGCTGCCAGGTCGGCCCAGCCTAGAGTTTATTTTCCTGTTAGCACTAATACTTTTCGGGAGCCACCATGCCGTAATGTCTAGAAGCTCGCTTGCAGATCAAAGGTAATGGGTTCAAATCTGCATGAAACCATATAAAAAAAAAAAAACACAACCCTGGTTCTCAAATCATCTGAGCCTCAAACAGGTACCAGGTAAAGTCCTGGGCAGTAAAGGCGGCTGGCGCGATACTGACCACATCATCCACAGAGTTCCGGTTGCTCTATACAACATACCGGCCCTACACTCAAAACAACCCTTATGACGCTAGACATTTAAACAATTTTGAAATTCGCTGATTACTTACATCCCGAGCAGTAATGCAATGCCGAACAAAATTATCTGACAGAACAATGGAGAGAACTAAAAGTTCAGCATATGAAGAAGCCAAGTGAAGACTGTAGTTCACATGATACACCAAGTAAAGACTGTAGTTCACATGATACACCAAGTGAAGACTAGTTCACATGATACACCAAGTGAAGACTGTAGTTCACATGAGACACCAAGTGAAGACTGTAGTTCACATGAGACACCAAGTGAAGACTGTAGTTCACATGATACACCAAGTGAAGACTAGTTCACATGATACACCAAGTGAAGACTAGTTCACATGATACACCAAGTGAAGACTAGTTCACATGATACACCAAGTGACGACTTTAGTTTTTCACGTGATACACAATGATAAAAGCTTATAAAATAACTATGTTTTTGACTGGAACTTAAAAGTGGTAAAAAAAAATACTTCAAAAACAAACAAGAGAATTATATCTTTAGGGTGTTCCAGTTCCTAAGACATTCAAATTTGACCTGCATTGCTGCCTGTATCATGTTTCTCTGTCTCTGGCAGTGATTAAAAAACTGTGCGCCCCGGGGAGCCGCGACCTCATCACAGGGGCATCGGGAAATATTCGAAGATACACTAGTTTTAGTTGTGTGTGTTTTTAAAAAAAATCTATTACAAACGAATAGTCATACTTTTACTTATGCTAGGGCGCCGTGAAAAAATTGTTATTGAAAAAATGGCGTCAGGACTAAGAAACGTTTGGGAAACACAGGTGTATGGTATCCATTGTCGGTTTAGATTCCTTTACTCCCCTTTTCACTGTGTTCTTCCAGGTTCCCTTAGGTCATACATATTTCATTTTTACCATCTACAGTCTACTAAAGAGCTGTCCTCGCCAAAGTATCAAGAGAGACATTGTGCAAACATGTCCAAACCATCTCTGAAAGCATATGCCAGTAATGAAAACCTTGTTTCCCTCCTCACTTGAAGAACAGAATCGCAGAGAAATAAAAAGGAAAGGAATTGCAGGGGATGCTGATATATTAAAGGAAGATTCAAGACTTAGGTGATAACTGTGCGAGACTGGGGGGGGGGGGGGGGGGGAAGGGGGGGGGGGGAGGGGGGGGGGGGGGGTGAGTGTGTGTCATGATTTCAGTCCCTTTTTATAAACGTCCCCAAGTTTCTTTAGGGCCTTAAGAGCCTACTGTGTTATTCCAGGCCTTTTACCTGGTTTCAAGGCCTGCTATGAGCACTAGTAAGGGGAAGGCAAAGAGACAAATACCTGGACAGCCTGGCCACAAGGATGGGAGTGGGACAAGAACGCTGACCTGATCCATGATTCTGGTGATCATGACGAATGGCGAATGACACCCGGTACACGATAACAGTATCTATGCATAACATCCATAACAGTATAGACTTCATTTGGAAAAAAAAAAAAAAACTTATCAAAGAATTCTGCCGCCTCTGATCCAGTCTGCAGTTTTACAGCAGAAACATCTTCACCCGTTTCTATGACCACTCATTTTAAACATGTCCACTATTCGTCCTTCTGTTACATTTGTCCACAAGTAACAGTACCAAATCACCCACATCTATGACCTCGTCACAGAAATGAAAGCCCACTGGTAAACCAAGAAATGAGCTGGAGGAAAAACCCCAAAAAATGTTTTATTCCTCGATATGGTGAAATCTAAATGCCGGCATTCAGATAGGGAAAAGCAAAGACACTTTTGTTTCTTACCACCGCAGACCTATCTCACCCCCCGACACGCATCAGCTGATGTGAGTTTTGCTGGGGTATTTGTTCAGTTTGTTGTTGTTCTGGTTGGAAAGGGTCTGCACAAATTTCTCTAACAACTCAATCAGGTATCTGCGCTTAAACCGGTGAGCCTCCTCGATGATCTCTCGCACGAACTCGACTTGTACTTTAGGGCTGCCCCGAACTGTGTCCAACAGCTGAAACAGCCTGTCAAAATCTAAGGGAATGGAACAAAAAGAGAGAACAGAAAATGTAATTGATAATGAGGTCTTATCTTCACAGGCCGCTGTGTTTTTAAGAGCACAAGGCTGCCATTACAGAACAATGCTTTCAGCAAATCTTTGCCAAGCTAACAACAATTATTAAACTATTTTCTCTTCATCAGGCAATTCTGTACTGTGTAAACAAAAGGACCATGTTGTTAGTTTAGGACTTCTGTGGTTAGATAAAGAGCGGAAGAATGGACTGTATGATTAGTGTCTTTCATGTTCTGGGTTTCAGTGACTATGTATGCACATGTTGCTGTAGACCACAACAAAAGGGTCTAACCGCCTCTTCAAGGGCACAAGCAGAAGATGACGCCTAAACAACTATGGACTGTATCAAAGATGGGCTATCCTCCGAACTTAGGGCACAAAAGATGGCGGCCGCAAAACATCCTTTCGAGCCTCAGTCATGTGACTTAATTTGCGGTTTTCCAGCGACTACAGCCACGAGTCCCACACACGGCGTGGATTGGAGCTAAAATAGATGGCTAGGACCCACGAGCCGCAGCTTCCGCATCTCCTGCAGCTTTGCTCCTGAGTCCTAGCCATCTAGTTTAGCCCCAATCCACGCCGCGTGAGCGGTGTGGGGGACTCGTGGTGGTAGTCGCCGGAAAACCGCAAATTAAGTCACGTGACTGAGGCTCGAAGGGATATTTTGCGGCTGCCATCTTTTGTGCCTGAAGTTAGGAGGATAGCCCAAAGATGATTAGCACAGCATGCAGCAGAATAAACGCCAGCAGACATAATAACCAAAGAACTGTAAGAAAAAGGAAAAGGATAATAATTTGCCACGCGGAGCAGAGCAAGAGGAAAAGATGCCGGCACTAGTTAGGAAACACATAGAGAAAATATGTTGGTGAAACAAGAAAATCTTTTCTTGGAACTCAGAGAAAAAGTGATAGAGGGAACACTTCAATTACAGAGACATTGGGAGAGTAATGAATGGTGCTGCAAGGAAATAGCAGGACAGGCTATATGAGATGTTCAAAGGTTTCTTAACCCATTTAGGGATTCAGTCACAGGCAAATGAGAAGACATGAGCACAAGTACAGCGACAAGTATCAAACAGTGTACTTCAGAGAAATAAGCTGTCAGTATTTATTTAATTTTTAAAAATGTTAAATCAAGAACCTTTTTTGACCTGCAAATAACACACCCCCCCCCCCACCAATCTGTGAAAGCTTCTGAAAATATCTTTACAAAATATAAGGACAATATTTTTTACACAGGTAACTGATACATAGACTATTCATCTACATTTTTAAACACAGTGCAGACATAGAACTCATCAGGAACCCAAGAAATGGTTCATGTTATTAGAAATTCTTCTTATCTAAATAGGAATTACGGCAGGAAAAATTTCTCAGGATACATATATTGTTCTTCATAACAGAGATCTGTCACATCCGAGCTCGCCTTAAACAGTCTGAAGCATATTTTCAAAGATATAAAGACACATAAAGGTAGTAATCAATTAACAGAGGGGAGCATTAAATGAAAAACATCCGGCCGAGCCTAAAACAAAAACAAACATATAAAGGGTGACCCATGTGGTGAACCTGTGACCTCAGCCATGACAGCAGACTAGAACATTCCCTGGGTATCCAATTTAGGCCGGATGAAAATGGGACTGCGCGTCTTTGAACACATTGTACCACTACCGATTGAAACCCGCGACAAAGAAACAGAACAGAAAGCAAAACATTCATCAAGAAGAAGAAAAGTACAATCATTTTACAATCCTCGGGTGGGTTCAGGCACCACATTTGGGGGGAGAGGCGGGAGAATAGATCCTCTGTCACTTCAACAAACATGTCGCAGGACTACATCCACCAAGAGGTGAGGAAAATAGCCTGCTTAAAATTAGTTTACTTAAAAAAGAACAAATCTGAAATATAGATGTGCATGCAAAACTTAAGTTCTGGAAAAAAAACCTTAAAAGTTCAGAAGTGGACGAACAGCCAGAAATTTACAGCGCTGAACACAAGAGATGAAATGCCTCAGAAGAGCTGCAGGAGTTTCAAGGAAAGATAGAATACAAAATCATGAAATCAGACAAATGCTAGGAATAAAGCCAGTCTTACAGGTCATCAAAGAACAAATAAAGTGGTTTGGACACCTAACAAGAATGCCCTGGTACAGCGAGCCAACTTAAACGTTACAACGGGTATAGAGCGAGTGGAAGACCTCGGAAAAGATGGTGTGATGGCATTAAGAACAGCCTTACAGAAATGAACACCAGTCTTAACAGTGCTCTGGACAGAGCTCAACAACGAACATTACATCTCCCCCTGACACTTCGATGAGTTACAAGGTGGAAGAGAAGAAGAACACAAACAACATAATCTACAAGATTTGAGCAATAAAAAATTTCACAAAGGGACAGCACAACAATGTAAGAAGACAGGAGGCAGTCAATTTCATAATTAACAATGTTCAGGAATTCAAGGGAGCGGAGAGAAACTGACATACTACTTGGGTATCTCTCACATGAAAACACCACTGATACATGACAAGGCAGACGTGGTCAAGGCCCTTTGGGAACATGTAACGAAGTCAGAAGAGAAACAAGATTATCATAGTTTAAAGAGAATGATGCACCTTGGTGTAACTGGAGGGTCTGGCTGGCTCACTACACTCACAGAAAAGGCAAGACGGACATATAACCAGATTACAACCGGCACCATTAGTACTGAAACTGTGTTGGTTGCTGAAGATGAGGGCGGAGCGCACATGGGAAAGCCCAGAATGCTGTGATGTCAATTCTTGACTCAACTGACATAAAAACAGAAAGGACAACACAAGAAGACAAAATTTACACTCCACTTACTTCTTCCTGGCCTTTTCACCTCTTTTGTGACAAGACCCTTGAGCTGCCTGTTGAAGTTCCACACCTGAAGATCCTTCTTACTGCCCACAAAAGCCTCCGCCAGTGTCTCAAACAATCTACTGTCAGTCCCCTTGACACCGTCCATCAAGGCGTCGGATTCGCAGACACCATTTTCGCTGTGGGAACTTGAATCTAAATTAGGGCTGGATGTTATGTGGTTGTACGCGGGTGTCTCTTCGCCATCACTGCCCAAAGCTGTGCTCTCGCTGTCTGAATCTGTAACAATCTGCAATGGAGTTTCGTCTGACAGGAGACAGACAGAGAGAGTGACGGAAAAATATCATCAGAAAATGTGAAGATTTAAGGAAACACAGTGGACAACAGAAGAAAAAAAAATAAGTGAGAAAACAGACTAAGGATCAAATAAATGCTGGAAAACAGACAACAAAGACTGGATAAGAAAGCCTCCCAGCTGTAGGTCGAACCTACAGCAAAAAAGAGAAATACAATTCCCGTGTGTGTGTGTGCTGAGTGATTCTTTGAGCATGATCCGCCGGGTCGAGGCAGGCTGGTTACGCAGACAGTTGTTTAAGTCATTGCAAAACTCCCCTGTGTGTGCAGTTACCTTCATATTTGTCCCAGGGTATGCAGGCGTTGTTGGTAATGAAAGAGCTGATAGACTGGCAGTTGCTGCATTAATTGAAGATGGCCGGCCCATGGATCACGCAGACATTGTCAGTGCCCTTAGAGAGATAGGATGTGCTGAGGATTTTGGAAGCAACGTGTCCACATCACTGCTAAGAATACGAGAATTGGGAGTAAAGATCGGCACAGCCAAGCATGAGAAGCACACCAGACGAACAGGAAGTCTTGATAACCAACAAAGGAATGGCACTATTAACCGCAAGACGCTGATAAATATGTTGAGAGGGAAATCTGAACCCCTATGGATGTGTCCGGAGTGCTGTGAAAATAATTTCATAATTCATGAAGAGAAATTCTACCATTCCTCTGGAAAAATGCTAGTGAAGGAAATCTGTCCTACTGAAGACATTGCAGAGTGAGAAGCAACAGCAGTCATGGTTTGTTTAAAAAGTAAGTAGCAAAGGACCCTTTCCAGGCTCTGTGACAGAAACTGCCACTCTTGCACTGGACCTAACTGTCATTGCAGATGTTTCCACAATCAACAGCGCAGCTTCATGGTCCTGAGAGACTGACAGTTGCCTTCATTATCCTTGGACATCAACACGTATGGTTTATGAGGGCATTTTTCCTGTAAGTCCCAAAAGGTGAAAGCAATTCACAACAACAATACCACTAGCCTGTCACTTTCACTGGGAAGAAAACATTCACATCTTGTATGTAGCAAACTAGCTGCCAGATTTCTCCAGTACACCCTGACTAATTGTAAAAGATACAGTCACACACGGCATGCTGGTTGGTACACACAAAGTGTAGAATATCAAACATTTGCTTGCAACAAAGTTTAAAAAAACAAAAACAAGTAAAGATAATGAGATGTGGTAGGATAAATAAGATAGTAGTGAGACGGAAGAGACAGAGATAGTGGAAGGAAGGAGAGAAACACAATGGAGGTTGGGTGGGAGAGAGAGAGAAATAAGACTTGTTGACTGAAAGAGAGAGACAGGAAAATAGGGAGGGAGTGAGAGAGGGAGGAAAATGAGATGAGGATGACCTGAATGGAGGGAGAGAGAAAGAGAGATAAAGTAATAAGGTTTTAAAAAAAGGGAGGGAGGTGGTGTAAGAGAAGAGGGTTGAAAAGCAAAATATGAAATGATCTTCTTCTTCTTCGCGTTCACCAGCTAGCTGTACACTCTGGTGGAAAGTTCTGGTTGCTCGTCCACTACTGAACTGCAGTCCTGCTCCAGAACCTGAGTGTTGCGTGTGCATCAGTTTTACAGATCTCATTCTCTTGAATACAGACTGTTGGTTCCTTGCCTCTCCGGCAGATGCACTCCGACTTCAAAGGAAGCTTCCCAATTAGTCGACTCTTAAGACATGCTTTTGGGGAGGCAGTGGGTCTATTCTTGTTTTCCCCCACAATGGGGCCCCGGAACCCACACGGGGGATATATATGAAATGATGATGTGGCATACGGGGTGGGGGAAGAGGGAATGAAGTGGAGATGTGGCATACGGGGTGGGGGAAGAGGGAATGAAGTGGAGATGGTGTAAGGAAGGAGGTGAAAGAGGCTGTAGAAGAAAGCAGGTGGGAGAGAGAAAGAAAAAAGAGAGAAGAAAGGAAAGAGAAAAAAAAAGACAAAAGACAGGATGGAGATACAGAGATACAGGGGGGGTGGGGGGGGGGTGAAGAAGAGAAGAGTATAGAGAAGGATAGAAACAGCAAAAAGAGAGAGAGAGAGGGAGAGAGAGAGGAGAGAGAGAGAGAGAGAGAGAGAGAGAGAGAGAGAGAGAGAGAGAGAGAGAGAGAGAGAGAGAGAGAGAGAGAAAGAGATCCAAAGTAAAACCGTATAGGAAATCTGTCAACGGAAGACAGACACTGTTTTTGAGATGTGAAAATATAAGTTCTTCACAGTTTGTAGGCCAAGACATTTGACCAGTTCCCTTCCTCACTGACATTCTCTCCAAACCCATTTTCATAAGGCTCATCAGTGTTTGTTCTTCTTCTGCCTTTCTGTCTCCCAATGGAGCATAGGCCCTCAACCAACTCATACCAAGTCGTTCTATCCCTTGCTATCACATGCAGCTCTCCCCATCTTTCTAACTTCATTCTCCAGCTTCCTTCTCCGTGTTTTTTTTTGTTGGCCTTCCTTTATTTCTACGCCCCTGTGGGTTCCAGTGCAAAGACATTATAGTTATATTGTTCTCCGGTTTTCTCAATGTGTGTCCTATCCAACACCTGCGTCTTTTCTTCACCTCTTGGTCCATGGAGCTTGCTTAGTTCTCTACCAAACCTCTACATTAGTTATTCTATCATCCCATATAATTCCCTCTATTCTGTGCAGGCACCAGTTAATGAATGTCTGTAATTTATCAGTAATTGCCTTGGTTGTTCCCCATGATTTGACATTAGAATTAAAAATTTTAAGTTTAGTTTTTCATCAGTGTTTGCCACAGTTCATTTTCCAAGGTGGGTGATTTGGACAACAAATGCAGGATTTTCCTAAGATGATATGTTTCCTAAATTTGTTAAGTTCAAATTGGGAGTTGTCTTGTCTTATACTGAAATGTGTTTAAAATATTTATTTCTTAACTGTAAGCTAGAAAAATATGGGTCGTCTTATACATGGAAAATGTGGTAGTTGCTTTTTATGACATGCTTTCAGGTGATGTGTGTATAATCTCTTTTCACACACACGAGGCAACGGAACCAACAAGGACACCTGGTGCATTGGCCGCATTGCTGCTGCTTCTTGACGTCCTCTTTTACCGCTTCGGTGTTAAGGAGGATATAAGGTCCTGCTTCGTGCTCTTCTGGCTGCTTCAACCATAGATACATCGTATTCATCTTGGTCTACCTCTTGCTCTATGTCCCTCTCCTTTTTTGGTATATGCCTTGTATAGTATAGCATCAGAAGACATTCTCTCCAAGTGAGCAAACCATTTGATTTGTGTCTTTCTGTGTAATTTAGAATTGGTTCTGTGCCGACTTTATCTCGTGTGCCCTCATTCCTGATTTTATCTCTTCTGGTCACACCTCATTTCCATGGTTACTAACTTTCTTTTATGTTTTGTTGTCAGTTACCACGTCTGGCACTGGTAGCATAGGGTGGGAATAAATATGCTTTGTATGAGATGTTTCTCTGTGCTGACTGGGATTGCCTTTTGCTGTAAGAGGGGGGCTAGCTGTTTCAGGCCACATTGCAGTAGATCCATATTTTATAGGCTGCTTGTAGGCAGCAGTGCCACAGACTGTTGCTTCACAGTACAATCCTCTCATAACTTGGAGCCGTGAGATAGGAAAAACATGCGGGTGCCACCCATCGTTACATCAACTGGAAGAGAATGGGAGTCATGAGTCTAAACACAATCAGAGACACATCACTGAGGAGCTCAGAGCACTTATGGTCATATCTGATGAGCAATGAAGAAGTGTGAAGTGTGGATCAACATCATGGCACACGAGAAGTAACCCATAAGTGCTCCATTCTACTTCTAACTGAAGTCTTGAGTCCGAAGTAGCTCAGCGAAGTGCATGGGCTCCGTAGCACGGATAATGGATCCTAAAATATTTTGGGTAGATTTGTAACTCCTAATTTTGCCCGGGCAGCGCCGTTAGGCTACTTTTTTCAATTTTCAACTGCCAAGGGATTTGTTTACATGCGCAACAATACACACGGTCATCCGATCTCACTACCCAGAGACCAGGGGGAATTACTAGAAGTCCACGTGAACAGAAAAAAATCCAAGCCTTCACGGGGGCCTGAACCCAGCACCTCAGCACTCAATGAGGACACCATACCTCAAGACCACGCAGCCCCTGTGCAACGAACATGATCTTAAAAATGAACAGTCCTTCCATAGCCAGCAGTCGATACGCTGGAGCGACAATGTGAGCTGTGGATTTCATGTGGAGTGTACTTCTTGTTGGGCCCACTGTGTTTCTGTTGACTACACTACAATGTCAGGTGGCTGATTACATTCAGAATGGAGCGGAAGCTTTACGAGTGACTGTCTGCACCAACAGTCACCTGCAATTCTGGTGTGGGATCATTCGTGTTGGCACATTTGACAACTGCCGTATGCATTTTTTTTTCCATTTGTAATCTCTCCAGAACCGCTGTATTTAACTGTTTTTTCTCCAGGAAATAAGACCTATCCACTATTCCTGATTCAGGCAGAGGCACTCTGACTTCAAAGGAAACCACCAATCAGTCGACTCCTACGACATGCCTGTTGGGGAGGCAGTGGACCTATTCTTGTTTCTCCCACAATAGGGCCCCGGAACCCACACATGGAAATACAAAATGATATAAACGGTGAGGCTTCCTGTGTGGATTCCAGGGCAAAAACGGACTCACTGACCACCTCCCCAACAGAAGCACACCGTAAAAGTTGACCAATTAGGTAGGGGTGCTTCCTTTGAAGCCAAGACTGCATGTACCTCCGAGGCGACAAACCAACAGTCTGCATACAAATATACCAGATGTGTAAAATGGATGTGCATGAAAAACTCATGTTCTGGAACAAGACTTAAGCGAACAATCAAAACTTTCTGCCAGAATTTACAGCCGGTGAACACAAAAAAGAAGATGAAGAAACAGTGAGACTGAACACTTTGCGAATTGGCTGGAGTAACACCGCAGTGACCTGACCAGCCAGAGGGAAGTCAGCTTCTGTGCTCCCAGGTAAATACTTACCTGTTTCAGAATCTGTGTCGGATATGAATGATGGCGCGGGGCTGGATGGCGGGGTGATGGATGAGGTCGAGAGCCGGCGGTAAGGAATATCTTTGGGCAGTGGACCTGTGGATACATGCAGACAGTTTTTCAGTATGTAACAGAATAACATAACAGATCTGTCATGATCTAGACATTCAAATTAATGGATCTATACAGAATAACATAACAGATCTGTTGAAATCCAGACATTCAAATTAATGGATCTATACAGAATAACATAACAGATCTGTTGAGATCTAGACATTCAAATTAATGGATCTATACAGAATAACATAAGAGATCTGTCGAGATCTAGACATTCAAATTAATGGATCTATACAGAATAACATAAGAGATCTGTCGAGATCCAGACATTCAAATTATTGGATCTATACAGAATAACATAACAGATCTGTTGAGATCCAGACATTCAAATTAATGGATCTTTACAGAATAACATAACAGATCTGTCGAGATCCAGACACTTAAATTAATGGATCTATACAGAACAACATAAGGTAATGGATCTGTAGGGGATATAGATCGTTACCTAGTGGATCTATTGAGATACAAATGATCTTTGCATTATGGAACAATACAGGGATATAGAGAATGTGTAAAAAAAAATCATTATGTAATAAATCTGTAAAGTGATAAAGTATATCTTTGGGTATTAGATCTGCAAAGATACACAAAATACCTATACGTAACTCATCTGCAGATATCTAGAGAAAACCGACAAGTCGTGATGAGAGATAATTGACAGGTCTAAAGAAAAAAGATAGATTTGACTAGAGACTAGAGAGAATTGTATATTTCAGCACGCCAGCGCTTTTAACACTCCAAAAACATGGAGAAACTGGGTCTAACACAACTCCCCTAGAGAGTGCTGCAACCTTTGTCACGAGCATTCTCTTTCTCAAAATGAAAACATAAATGCAAGACTTTAAACAGAGCGGGACACACCTGTAACCTTTAGGAAAGTCGACCAGCCCAACAAACTTGTGAATGAAAAGTGACCTACTCTATTTCGGGAGACTAACGTCGAACTAGCCCAATTTCAATATCAATTGATTCCCCCCCCCCCCCCCCCCTCCCTCCTCTGAAACTCCCTTGGCCACTGCCCTATACAGATGATAGGACCAAACAGAGAGATCATTATATAACTCTAACACTGAAGGAATAAAGAGGAATGGCATTCCAAACCACCCACCTCCGGAAGACCTTTAGCTTATGTACAGAAGCTGATACAGTGGTAAGGCTTACCTGGCTTTCGTTTACGAGTCGGTGAATTAGGCAAACTTTCGGATGAGGTCCGCTTCCTTGGCGAGCTTCCTATCACAATAGCCTCTTCTGCTTCGTCAACAGTCAACTGAAATAGAAGAAGATCAGCACTGAGACAATGAACCTAGACAGACAGGGTACAGATCAATCGATCAGTCTGTACCCTCAAGGATGCCGCTTGGGTTCTTGGGTTCCAGGACCCTATTTTGGATGGGGGGGAAGAGGAACAAAGAACAAACCCACTGCCACTTAAAAAGCGTGTTATAAGTCTGAGTGTATCTGCCTCAGAAGCAAGGAACAAACAGTCTGCACACAAATAAGCAACATATGTGCATTTCAATCTGAAGTTCTGGAACTAGCCCAAAGTCCAGAAGTGAACAAACAACCAAAACTTCCCCCAGAATTACCTACTAAAACAAGACTTAATCCTTCTTCATCTTCTTCACATTCACCAGCTGTAAACTCCAGTGGAAAGCTCTGGCTGCTGGCCCACACCTAGGCTATGCTCTTGATCCTAAACCTGAGTTTTGCACGCACATCTGTTTTACAGATCTGGTCTATGTGTATGCAGACTGCTGGTTCCTTGCCTCTCAGGCAGAGGCACTCCGACTGTGAAGGAAACATCCAGTGAGTCCACTTTTAAGACATGCTTGCAAATAAAAGCACCAGAGCTCAGGCAGGAAGGCAAGGGTACATGGGATAACACCTGCTGCAATGGAACCCATCCTCTTATCTTTCAACACCTGATACAATTAAAGCCCCTCTTCTTATCTTTCAACACCTGATACAATTAAAGCCCCTCTTCTTATCTTTCAACACCTGGCGCAATTGAGCCCATTCTCTTATCTTTCAACACCTGGTGCAATTAAGCCCATCCTCTTATCTTCCAACACCTAATACAATGAATGAAGCCCATCCTCCTACCTATAATTATCTGAGGCAACTGAAACTGAGCCCATCCCCTTTTACCCACTGGCACCTGTGTTTTCCCCCTTTTAAACAGACACAGGACCTGTAGCACTGACCTGCTTGTTAACTTTAAATGGATTGCCGAACATGTGGAGTCTGGTAGGTGTGTTCTCCAACTCCCTCAGTGGAGGCGGCTGTTTCTTCAACACTTCCTGATAGTTACCCATCTGACTGATCGGCACTCTGTGCTTTTCATCTGGAACAGTTAAAAAATAAATTGTTACATAAAAGGACATACAGCACGGCCATTTAAGGCCATTTAACTGACGGCTCCCGGATTACTGCCAGATGTGTTGTATTAATGATTCCTCTAAACTGGGGCGTAGGTCGCTAGCTTACAACGACCCAAATGTCCCAATTCTGACGCTAGAATAAAATGTCAGGGAAGCTGCTTGTGGTGGATCAGCTAGAAGTTGGCCTGCATATCCAATGGCCGTGGGTCCAAATCTTTTTTTTTTTATGACCTTGGCTCCCATGTTGGCCAAGCCTTAAAGTGGTACTAGATAAAGTCCTGGGAAATAAAGGCATCTGCCTGATGCTAACCACATCACCAACCGAGTGCCGTTGGTCTATAAAATATAGGTCTTGTACTGTATCTTCTATTCCCTTGCAGATGTTGAAAACAGTCCTTTACTTACAACATTAAAACAGGGAGGAACATGATCAGCTATCAGATGTGGCCACAGTGATAAGAACATGATCAGCTATCAGGCGTGGCCACAGTGATAAGAACATGATCAGTTATAAGACGTGAGCACATTGGCAAGAACATGATCAGCTATCAGACGTGGTCACAGTGATAAGAACATGATCAGCTATCAGACGTGAGCACCTTGGTAAGAACATGATCAGCTATCAGACGTGGTCACAGTGGAAAGAACATGATTAGTTATAAGACGTGAGCACCTTGGTAAGAACATGATCAGCTATCAGACGTGGCCACAGTGATAAGAACATGATCAGTTATAAGACGTGAGCACCTTGGTAAGAACATGATCAGCTATCAGACTTGGGAAAGTCACAGAAATCACATATGGTCATGGAGCTGTGGTAACAAGCATGATGACAAAACATAAATAAACGATGGTAAAACACAAACGACGACAGAACATAAACAGTGACAAAGCAAAAATAATGACAAAGCATAAACAATAACAAAACATAAATGATAAACCATGGAAAAAATAAACAGAGATGTTGAACATACCACCCTCCCCCCCCCCCCCCCCATAAACTATGAAAAGATATGAACAGAAATGATGCCAAAGGAAATAACAGCATACATGACAAAATATTGCGATCAAATGATAAAACAAATTGCAACAAAACAAGTGATGACAAAATATAAACATTAAAAAACCAAACTTTGACAACAACAACAAAACATAAACTATGACAAAACATTAAATATGACAACAATGAAAAAACATAAACTATCACAAACATATAAATGGGACTGCGATAATATTACCCAGGTCAATCAGAGATTCAGAATTGATTGATGTTCGCAGGAAGTTGTTTCTCATTCGACTGATTTGATCAATTAAGCTTTTGCGAGGGATGTCGTAAGGATTTCTGAAAGGAAAAACAAAACAAAGACTAACAAATTAATTCTTCTTCTTCATGTTCACCGGCTGTAAACTCTGGTGGAAAGTTCTGGTTGTTCGTCCACCTCTGGACTGCAGCCCTGTTTCAGAACCTGAGCATTGAGTGTGCATCCGTTTGACAGATCTGACTAATCTGTGTGCAGACTGTTGGTTCCTTGCCTCTCAGGCAGATGCACTCCGACTTCAAAAGAAGCTCCCAGTTAGTCAACTCTTTCAACATGCTTTTGGGTAGGCAGGGGGTCTATTCTTGATTTCCCTACTACAGGGCCCCGGAACCCACACAGGAAACAAATTAATTAAAAAATATTTTTTTTAAAAACTAGATATGTTAAAAAAGGTAAAGTCAAGAGAAGTGAACCAGCATCATTGCACACGGTTATAAACCATAAGTGCTCTGCCACCAGTACGGACAGCTGATAACTGTCCGCCTGTGTCGCCGTCAGCATGAAACTGCGTAGCTACAGCGACGTTCCTCCATTTACCCCAGAGTGTTAACTTTGGCACCCACTTCCTAGAGACTGGGTAAGCCCCAGAAACCTCCCTGTTTCAAACACCCACCGCGGGCTGCAGTGAGTCGCACTGCGCTAACGCGGCGCCCAAACTAGATATATTATCCAGCGTAGTGAAATACGACGAGCTATAGTTGCTTGTCTCTATGATGTATAGGCTCACCCGGAAAAAGTTATTTTTCTGGCTTTTATGGGTTTTGGTCAACATGATGTCCATGGACAGTGTCCAATATGCCAGGAGGACATCTTTGATACTGGTTTCAAGTGCACAGTGATGATTGGTTAGATTATATTCGCCCAAATTGTTTTCGGTTATTATTTGGGGTGGAAAAAAATCTGGTAAAACTTGTGGATTCATGACTTTATATAATTTCATTATTGCGTAGCATAAGGTCGCGCATAGCTCTCTGTAGCAATGTGACCAAAAACCACTTTTAACTGCACAAGGGGAAGGAAATTAGTTAATTCTTTGCTTTCTTTGTATTAAGTTTTTACTTCCCTTCACACTGAAATACACCTTTTCTTTTAAGGTATTCAGTGATTAGAAAGTTGTGTCACGTGGCATACATTTAAGAAGCAGACAGAGGACTTCATGCCTGCTTATCTTCTTTGTGGTCTAGGGTTCAACCCCCAGTATATTTATAAAAACTGACCAAGACCAGACTCCAAATTTCCATCCATAAAATGGTAAATATGGGCAACGAAGGGAGAGAAACAGAGAAAGAGACAACATCTCTCTCTGGTTCATGCACTTTTGCACAGTTCTGATTGTTTATGCACTTTTGCAATGTTCGGATTGTTCATGCACTTTTGCACAGTTCGGATTGTTCATGCACTTTTGCACAGTTCGGATTGTTCATGCACTTTTGCAGTTCTGATTGCACTTGTAGACTTTGGTCTTGCTGCAGAACTCGAGTTCTGCATGTTCATTTGACAAATGCTGGCTTGTTTGCCTGTATGCAGACTGTTGGCTTCTCACCTCTCAGGCAGATGCACTTTGACAGAAACATCCATAATTAGTGACCTCTTATGGCATGCTTACTGGGGGCAATGTGTCCTCTGCCCCCACTCCTCCATATGGGCCAAAGAATCCATACAGGTACAAGGAGGATAATTCTTTCACTTTGAAGCACCCATTTTCAGAACAGTCTCTCTGGCAAATGCCATAGAAAAGACATCACCAAACAAGAAAAACTGTTTACCTGTAAAACTGAGGTTTGATCTCTGGATCTTCAACAGCCAAGGTAAAGCCACTATAGTCCTGCTGCAGCTCTTGTTTCAAGATAGCCATGTTACCCCCCAGGCTGGCCAGCAACTGGTTGAAATCCTTCCGCTGCAAAACTGACTTGGTCCTACTTCTGCTCCAGCAAATGAATTTAAAATAAACAACACAATTCTGAGTCATAGACACATTATGTATATGATAAAACACATGGACAGAAGCAGAGACTAAAAACGGTACCTGGAAAGTAAATGCGACCGGCGTGAGGTTGACCCCAATCACCCACTGAGTTCCAAAGCTCCATAAAAGAAATGTCTGATATATGTCCAAACAGTTTTAGAATATCTCCATTTTCTTCATACTCTGCCAATTACCGCCTTCAGTATACCACTTTTGCGGTGTAGGCGGGAGGGTCTTTGAGTCTCAGGATTGAAGGCTGCATGACTAGTACTGTCGCCACAAACTGTGCAGGTGAGAATTTTATTTTGCCCCCAAAAGAAAAAAATTCCCAACCTCACAGAGTATTCAAACATGGGTCTCCCATGTGACAGGCCAGCATTCTAACCGTTCAGCCAGCCGTTCTTCTTTCTTCACATTCACCGTTTGTTAACACCAGCGGACAGCCTGGTTTGTCCGCTTCTGGACTATGGTCTCAGTCCACAACTTTTATTGTGCACATCTATTTTACAGATCTGGTTCATCTGTAAGCAGATTGTTGGTTCCTCACCTTTTAGGAAGATGCATTCGGGCCCTCGAAGGAACCGCTGATCCTCAGTTGTAGATCGATGGGCAACCATAGACACAGTGAACATATCAGGAAACAAGAAAGCAAGTGTGATGAAACAAAAATTTGAAAACAAAAAAAAAACCTTGAGAGTTAAACACATATGTCTACGTAAATCAAAATTTTCTGGCCAGATATAATCTCAAACACTAAACTACTTCAAGCCACAAACCAAGAAACTTTAGACAGTATGATTACCAAGATAAGATGGAAATGGTTTGGCCACGTTATGAGAATGACTTCTGATATACCTGCAAAACAGCTCTCACATGGACACCAGAGGGAAAGAGAAAACAGGGGCGCCCAAAAACAACACGGAGACGAACGATGGAAAGTGACCTGAGTGCGGCATCTTTGACATGGAAAACTGCACTGAAGATTGCACCGGACAGGAAAGCATGGAAAGTCCTCTCTGAAGCCTCATGTGCCACTAGGCATAACGAGAATTGATGATGATGATAGTTAACTGTTTATCAGAAATGTCAGGACATCAACCGGATAAAAATACAAAGAAATTGATAAACTTAGACAGCAGACATGGCAGTATAGGAACTAGATAAAATAAGCTGACATACATGTCAGCATAGGAACTGGATAAAATTACAGAGCAGACATGTTTATTTAGGAATAGGACAAATTTACCTGACACCAGCATAAGAACTGGATAAAACTATCTGAAAGACATGCCAGAATAGGAACTGGATAAAATGACAGTGGAGACATGCCAGTATGGGAGCTGGCTACAATTACAGAGCAGATACATCTACCTGAACATTTAGGAGCCTAAACAAAAAACTTTCACTGCACCGAGAACAGCCACTAATAAAAAAAATCTGGCAGAGCGAACTAACCTCGAGGCCACCCGTATTCCCTCATGCCGCGATGGTTTCTGGCCAATAGATGCGTTAAGGCGGTCCATTTCCATTCGAGCCTGTTGTGAGAATGAAACAAGGATAAATAAACAGTTCACAATCGACACATTAAAATATTACCTAACCCTTGCCTATCAAAAAGGACCAATGAAACATCCAAAACTGTAATGCCAACATGTTTACAAACAGCTCTAAAGAGGTCAGCAGGAGTTACTAACTCATTCTGTAGGTCCCTGAAGTAACTCCCGTGGGTCGCTGATTATACGACTGTCTTGCCTTTTCTCTGAGCGCCAAGTTTCGGCCAGATCCCCTTGTCACTCCTCCCTGCATCACTTTCACCAGACTGTGATGATCAATTTGCTGTTCCCAATTGTACTCATGCCCCGATAAGGCCATATCCATAAGTGCCTATCATGTATCAATATTCAATCAAGTTGTGCAGAGCCAGCTAATCTGGCTGTCTGTTTATTTCCCAACTATAAGTACATGAGACAGAAGGTTGTGGATAGACATGACTACCAACGCCACACGGCATGGACTATGGAAGATCATCTGTGTCAGAGTTGACTATAAGTATACGCGACAGAAGGTTGTGGGTAGACATGACTACCAACACCACACAGCATGGACTCTGAGAAGAGCAGAGTGGAAGAACAGACTATGAGCCTTGTGTGATAAATAATGGCACAAGAAGGCAATGAATGAACGAACACAACATGCTGTCACATTTGCAAACAAACAAACCTGGTTCTTCAGTTTCTTCAGGTAGGTAATCACACTGTAGCTAAGGCAGTTGTCCATATTGTCAGACACCAGGTTGGGGGCACCCATTCGAGCCAAAGCTCGCCGCAAATTCTGTGACAAAAACATAGAAACAAGCAAGGTATATTCACCTACCAAGTTTGTTTATTCGAAACGAACATCCTCAAGGTGTTTGGTACACTCTTTAGGATTGAATGTCAGGTTTTAGATAAGTGGAATTATCAGATTTGTGCAGGAGTCACCGAGGCATAGCAGCCAGACGCTTGCATGCAAATCTGAAGGTCGTGGGTTTGCTTCCTGGCAGAGCCAGACTTTTTTTCAAAAATGACCGTGACTCCCAGGTCACCCAGCCTTGAGTGGGTACCGGGTGCAGCCATGGGAAGTAAAGCTGGCCATGTAATGCTGACTTTATCACCCATCTTGTGCCTACTGGTCTATAAAAATATAGGTCTAGCCCTATATGCCTAAAGGAGTGGAAATCATCATCATCAGTTCTTGTTACGCCTAGTGGCACATGAGGCTTCAGAGGAGTGGAAAAGGGAACCTTGACCTTTTTTTAAAATACTTTATGAGATTTGTGGAAATTTAACATGTGGAATTACAACAAGAGCAATTCTAAGGTAGACAATATGTGAAATTCTAAGACACAAGACAAGCATATCATCATCATCTTTGCATTCACCGGATGTCAGCTACTGCGGAATGTTCTGGTTGTTTGCAACTTGTTCTAGAGCACGAGTTTTGCATGCACAACTGTTTTACAGAGCAGGCTTATTTGTATGCAGACTGTTGGTTCCTTGTCTCTCAGGCGGTTCCACTCAACATCGAAGGAAACCCCTAATTAGTCGACTCTTATGACATGCTTATTGGGGAAGACAGTGGCCTATTCTTGTTCTCCTCGCGCCCCCCGCTATGGGACCCTGGAACAAACTGTGAAAATTCTAAGGTATAAAAAAAGAAATGTGAGATTCTAAGATGTGTGAGTTTCAGATTAATGATTTCACTGGCATAATGTCCAAGTCACCTACATATTAATCCTTGTATCCAGAAAACTGTGTTTCAACATTGAGATCTCTGATAAACTGTAGCCGACTGAAAGCAGACGCTATGACATAGGTTCGTCATGCTGTTTAGCCTTTGCATTGCTAAAGCAAGTCTTATTCTGACATGTGAATGGTAAGTATATGTTATCACATACTGGTTGACCTATTTCGAAATATCAAATTGAAGGCAAAGATGTATGAGACGAAAGTACTCACCGGCGCGTAATAGCCAGGCATTGTCTTCAAATAATTCTCAAATCGCTGCCGCCACTGCTGGTTAGGCTTCATGTTGTGTACCTTGAACAGCTCATCTGGGGGGAGCCACAGACATTAATAATACGAAAGTGATGTGTGTGTGTGTCGTGTGTTTTGAGTCAAAAATTGTTTTTGGAAATAATTCAACATATTCCATTCCGTGGCTCGATTGGCATCTTTCCGACTTTCCAGACGACAGTGTTACATAGTGCTATGAGGAGGCATGGAAGTCAAGAGCCCATGGGGATGGCGAGTGTGACTAGCAAGACCCGCTTTAGACCAAATTTAGAAAGAGATGACCTTTGTTCTCTTCACAGCACAAAGCCTGGGCAATATTGCCCAGGCATCATGATCCCTCTTTCGACTCGCCTTGTTTACTCCAAAGAAAAAGGTAACACCAGTATGTCTGGAACAAAGCAGTCTGCAGAAGCTGCCAGATCAGAACAGCACTGCTCTATCTGTTGGCATGTCAGAATTTTCCTCCCAGACTAGCCAAAGCTAATAATAATAAGCACATAAAAAATACCAAAGCATTGCAGCAGAACACAGACAGCATCTGTGCCTCAAGAGAATCAATCAGTGGAGTAAGCAGAGAATACATGACTGGCGGGCCTTGAATCAGTTCGCAACTAGCACCATCAGAAAAAAAAAACTCTTCGCTGGCTACGGAGGAAGTGGATGAAACATGCAGGGTAATGCCAACCCGAGCACAATGACGCCAATCCTCGATTAATTCATCCATTTATACATTCATTTATTCTTCTTCTGTCATCTGACAGATACCCCGTTGTAGCCTAGAACAATGACAAACTCATTTATCCAAACAATAATCTGATGAAAGAATATTTCCATCATGCAAAAACTCCCACTTCACTCCTAACGAGCACAGTAAGCATGCAGACATAGAGATGGCTGCTGTATCGGAGGACGGAGCTCAAATGGGTCAGAACATGTGCCAGGATGTCTATTCTGACAAGTAACTTCATCGTCTTCTTCTTCTTGCTGGTCACCAGCTGTAAACTCCAGCAGACAGTTTTAGCTGTTCATCCACTTATCTGGACGTTGGTCTTGTTCCAGAGCTTTCCATGCACATCTGCTCTACAGATCTGACTTACTTGTATGCAGGCTGTTGGTTCCTGGCATTCCAGGCAGATACAATCTGACCTTGAAGAAAACACTTTTAATTAGTCACATTCTATGAAATTCTTGGGGATGGGGGGGGGGGGGGGGGGGGGGGGGGGGGGGGGGGATCTTTTTTTTTTTCTGCTACCACAATGGGGCCTCGGAACTATCATTCAGGGAAAGACTACTCCAATTTCTTTGAATAAACAGCTACAAAGGCTGCATCTCCATAAACACAAATTTAGGCAGTAATGGGAACAATGAGAAGGTGGGGGGGGGGGGGGGGGGTAATTAGCTATGCAAACATAAGCAAAAGAAAGTTAAGAGGAGCTACCTGGCACTAGGAAATTTGTGGAAGTGAAAATACACTACAGGCTTGAAATTGGATAACAGAATCAATTTTTCCTATTCTTTTGTGTATGCCCTAAAAAGGGTGGCTGACACATGTTGCGGTTTACAACTCGGCTAAGATAACTGCCCATAAGCCCTAATTAGTCGCATTGTACAACATTTCTGTGAGATGAGCAGTAAGTTTTTACCACCCGCACTCTCAACTCACCAGAATATGCGGTGGGGTGTTGAACGGAGCAACAGAAAGATTAATTTAGAACTTAGTGAGAATTAAAGTTAGTTGTGTACCCTTTACAGGACCTTGCCGAACCAACCCCAGCATTTTTTTTATTGCTTCTGAGTTTACTAGGCAGTTTTATATTCAGTACTTTCAGAAAGTGGGCTCTTGATGCCACTGTCAAAACCAAATGCAAGGCAGCTTGCCACCAAACTGCCAGGAGTGGGATCGAACCTGCCACCTAGGAATTACGAAGCATGTTCGCAGCGCCTAAGCCACAGATGCCATGTTGGTAGACAGTTAACCAAATATCAGTGAATCGAACTAGGATTAGACAACGGTGCTGGAGTGCGCACACAATGAAACTTATGCTTGTGCAACGGAATCCACAGGAAAGGAGTCAGAGATCTAAAATCTCCTTTTTTGTGTTCACAGGCTGTAAGCTCCAGCGGAAAGTTGTGTTTGGTCATCCACTTCTGGACCTTAGTCATGTTCCAGAACCCAAGTGTTGCGTGCATATCCATTTTACAGATCTGAGTTATGTGTGTGCAGATTGTTGGTTCCTTGCCTCCCAGGCAAATGCATTCAGACTTCGAAGCTCCCCATTAGTTGACTCTCACGACATGCTTGTTGGGGAGGCAAAGGGTATATTCTTGTTGTCGCTACAATGGGGTCCCGTAACCCACACAGGCAGATATCTAAAATAATGGAAACGACACTTGCTGACAGTAAATTTGCCTCAGTGTGTGAATATCAAACAAACGACTGAAGATATTCAGAACACGATGATCAACACTCACCCAACAAGGGAAGCAGGACAGGGTAATTGTAAGGCATCACAAACAAGTTGACGGTGGTCAGAGAGCTGCTGGCCTTCAGGTAGCCGAAAGGATGACACATCTCACTGAACTTGGAACTGTTGGCCACAAACACCTGTACAAGAAATCAAAACAGGGTTCAATATCATCATCTTCGTTTGCGTCTCCTCATCCAGTTACCTAATCAAAGTGTTGGGGCAAGATCTAGGATCTGTGTCCTCTTTCCAATGCACTATGTACTTCTACTCTTCTCTGCCCCTGGAATGCCCAGCGGCGTCAGGACAGGAAGAGATCTCTGGAACAGTCCCTTCTGTTCGCTTCGTATAAAGTATTTTTCAGTGTCTCTGATATTTCTGCGGCCCATATTCTGCGTGGTCAACCTCTAGCTCTGTTACCACTGTATCTGTATAACATTGCTCTCTCTGTGGGGCACTGTCTGCTGCCAATCTTGTTACATGGCCAAACCATTTGATTTGTTGTCTACCCATGAAGTACAGTATAGGTTCTGTGCTGACTCTCTTCCTAATATTATCGTTACGCCTAGTATATCTCAACATTTCATTTCTGTGGTGACTATTTTCCTTCTGTCTTCTGAAGACAGTGTCCATGTTTGACACTGATAGCACTATGTACATTTGCCAATATTAGATGAAATAAAAGAAAATTTAACCTCACATGACCTTGCTGAGAAGAGTCGCGTGCCCACCAGGACGGTGCTGAGAAGGGAGGAGGAGGAGATGTTTCTGTCTGGAAGTTTCCTTCCAACAAATACTTTAGCCATGAAAGTGGCGCAAATAAACCAGACCACAAATAAATCCGGAGACTGTTAACTTCAAAAGAAGCACAAAGTCTGAAATTCTGGTGTTCTTTCTTTTTTTCTGTCTCTTCTTTCGACTTTTACTTGGCTAAGGCTCACCAGTGTTGTTTTTTTTTAAAACTAAAAATCTATCTAGAGAACTTTACTTCTGCTCTTTCTTCTCAGGAAGTTTAAGAAATGTGACACTGTCTGGTCTTTCCATTGTACTTTTCATTTATGGTTATAAGTGGACGTATACCGAGGTACCAGTGTATTTATACATTTTTCTGTTATTTATGGTAATTTTTGTCTCAAGTTTTTGTGTCTTTGATCTTTAATGTATGAGAATATAATCTTTAAATTTAATCTGTATATTTGTCGCAGGTTGATTAATTTATCTGAAATTAAGACACCCTCTGGAAGAACCTGAAGTGTGAATACGAGAAGTTACGTCTTCCATTCTAAATGAGTTTCTGGTGAAATCAGCTGGCGTATTTCCTGGGCGGCTCAAGAAGCTGTTAGGGAAATCTGGTGCTCATATCACATTGTAAATAGAATTTCCTGCTAAATGCTTTCCTTTCGTACACATTTCTTGAAAAAAAAAAGATAGGTAATAAATAAGATAAGTTAAAACAATGTTTTCCCATAATGAATTTAAATAATGCGGATACAAACAATACATTGCACAATTTATTTATTTATTTGCATATTTCGCTGTATCTCATCAGGTGCGTTACACCAACATAAAAGGAAGCGCAAAACTGAATAAATCCAACTGAAATGTGAATAGTTCCTTTCGACACATTGTGGTGTGTTTTGGCTGCTGGAAGCTCACTGTAGTCACGCGACTTACCAGGGCAACTTCAAATTTACTATAAATTCCGTCTGCTTACAAAAGAGGGGATTGTTGATTTTAATTGTTAAAGCTTCGGCTATTCTCAACAGTTCGGAGTGTGATAAACCACACAGAAAGCACTGTCTGTGTCAATTACATGCCCGGAATTAAGTAGATGACGTCCTATGAAAGAAGTGGGTTCTGGTCTCGACACCCTTGAAGAATCACTGAGCTGTTTATGTAGCCATTTGGGTATAAATAAGATAAGTATTTTAAAATAGCAAGTTACTTGTCAATCACCCTGTAGCTAGGTTTTCATATCATCCACCAACTGAAAGCCACAATAAGTATCTTTGTTTCTAGATCCCCAGCTGTAGAAAGCTACCCACGGTAAACCAAGGGCTGCACTGTGAAACAATTTCACTAACACCAAAGCTGTGCTATTTAAATTTTCATTCATTCTGTGTCTTTTTCTTATTCTTCTTCGCGTTGACTGGCTGTAAACTCCGGCAGAAAGTTCTGGGTGTGCGTATACCTCTAGACTTTAGTTTTGTTTCAGAACTTCAGTGTTGCATGCACATCTGGTTCACATATCTGATGTACCTGTATGTTTCCTACCATCTAACAAGAAGGGACCAGGCCACCATCTTCAGACTTAGAACGCAACATACTCCACTCAATGGACATCTAAACAGAATACAGCCACAACACTCCCCAGAGTGCCAGCTATGTAACTACCCCTACAAAACTGTTGAACACCATCTCTTTGAGTGCTCAAAACTCAGCGAGACTAGAAGAATGCTACTCCCTCCGAGACCAGACAAGTGGAACACCTTGTACGGAGGAAAAGAACAGCTTGTGAAAACATGCAAATTCCACTACATGGCATTGGGCCAAAGGGCGAAAGCCCATGCGCTGCTGGATCGATAACAACAACAATAATCTGTATGTTACCTCACAATGGCACACCAGAATCCGCATGGAGAATTTAGTGTCCTCCTTCTTCTTCTGCGTTCATCCGAAGATGTAATTGCGTTGTGTCCGTTTACAGCGTGGCTGCGATATTTGCACCTTTCGGCCAACACATCTGACTTCTGCGGGCATTTGTTGAACGGGTTAGCCTTCCTGGTTATTTAGTGTCCTATTGTGCTTTTAATCCTGAAAGATCTGAACATCAAAGAAGATTGGCTAATAAACAGCATCCTGTCTCGGAAGCTGAAATATTTTGGTCATACCAAGCGCCACGACCGATTGGAAAAAATTATAGAAGGCATGGTACCAGGAAGGAGGGGCAGGGGCTGAATAACACGAAGATGGGCACATGATATAAGTGACTCCTTGGTTATGAACGTACATGAGGCGGGAGAGCTGGCGAGAGACCAAGTTTCTTTCAGGCAGACTGTGATGAGAGCGACGTTCTGCAAAGGACCTGCTACATGATGATGATGATTGTGGTATTATAAAGCTCATAGGGTTCACAGTCTATTTCTTGACTCCATTCTATCCTGTCCAATCACTTCAATATCATGAATGGAATTCAGTCCAGCATCTTTGGCGTCTATTGTCAACTTTCACCTTAAGAGTTTCTCGCGGACACCCTCATTTCCTCCGTCCAACTATTTTATTTCAGGTATCAGTAAATAAGTGCAATGAAAAGTTCTATCTCCCACCTGCCAGGAAATATTGGGTTGTCGCCTCTCCAGGATGTACTGTGTCAAGGGTGACGGCTCCAGCTCGTATTTATCAAAAGGCAGATTTTCGATCACAAGAGGCTCAGAAGGTTGGCAAGAAAACTGGACAACCGGGTGAGCTGTACGTGGGGGCTAAAAACACAGGAAAGTAACATTAGCATCAGTATGGAGCAGGTTGTGTGTAAACAAAGACCAAATTTAAACAAGAAAAAGGAATTGCAAATATATAATAATAACCTAAAAAAAAACTTACAGATCATATAAATCAAAGCTATTCAGCTAAGATTACCCAGGGACCAAAAAGTTGAAAATGGGGAGTCGTCATGGGCCAGAGAGATCATTCTTCTTCATCTCTTCCACCTTGTACCTCATCGAAGTGTTGGGGGGAGATGTAACATTCGTTGATGAGCTCTGTCAAAGAGCACTATCAAGACTGATGTTCATTTCTGTAAGGCTGTTCTTAATGCCATCACTCCATATTTTCCGAGGTCTTTCACTCGCTCTATACCCGTTGTAACGTTTCAGTGTGGCTCGCTGTGGCAGATAGTACCAGGTGTCCAAACCACTTCATTTGTTGTTCTTTGATGACCTGTAAGACTAGCTTTATTCCTAGCACTGTCTGATTTCGTATTCTGTCTTTCCTTGACACTCCTGCGGCTCTTCTAAAGCATTTAATCTCTGTTGTCACAATTTTACGTTTACTGGAGGATGTAAGTGTCCACGTTTGGCACTGATAACACAGTAGAGAGATCATTAAGGCAACAACTGGAAATCATCCGAAGGCCACTAGCCTCTGCAAGCCAGATTTGGCCCACTACATGGATAGCCCTAATAAGAATATAATCTGTAAACTGAATCTATTTGTATCTGTGTTACAGGTTGATTATTTTATCTGAAATTTATAAACCCTCTGGAAGAACTTGAAGGGTGGATACAAAAAGTTATGTCTTCCATTCCATAAGAATTCCTGGTTAAATCAGTCAATGTGATTCCTGGGCGGCTCGAGAAGGTGGTAGCAAAATTAGGCGCTCAGATAAATAGAACCTCAAGCTTAATGCTTTCCTTTCGCATCCATTTCTTGTAAAAATTATAGTTAATAAATAAAGTATAAGTATTTTAAAATAAAGAATTATTTTTCAATCACCCTGGAGCTAGGCTCAATAACAGGAATATAATAAACATGAGGGGGGAAAAGGAAAGATAAGTTATAAATTTATTTTAATAACTCAGATATAGACAGACTGGTTTTTTTTTCTGGACGTCACGAGAAGGAATGAATTTGAGAACTCGGTAACGACTAGCAAGACTGAGCAAGGCAAGACCAATATATTTGAACGAGTTGGTTACATGGATGGGGGCAAGACATGAATACTGACATGATCCGTGATTTTGGTGATCATATGAGATGACGAAATATGACAGCCTATGCTTACCAGCACGGCACATAATGATGATGATACGATGAATGAAAGAAAACAGGTAAATAACAAAACTCATAAATCACAAACTAGATAAATATTAGTAAGCCAATAACCCACACAACTAAATAAATGCCAGAAAGTTTACAACACACACAATTTAATAAATGTCAGAAAAGTGATAGACAAACACACACACAAAAACACATTAATGACAAAAGCTGATAACACGACTAAATAAATTATAGAGAAAAAAAAAGATAAAACAAACACCATTATTCACAAACAAAACCAGACAAATTACAACATAAAAAATGCAGACTTTTACCAATGAAGGACTTGTGAGATCAGGCCAGTAGCCTTCAGGAATCGGCCAGTGACCCGTGCAATGACCTTTCTGTGCCGACCGAGGCACGTAGATCAATTTCCGACAGCTATGCCAGGCATGGTTTGTCTGATGCTGGCCATTTGTCCCAAAGTGATTGACATGTTTTTTATCCTCTTCATCAAGAACAATGGTTTTGTTTGTATCCATGTTTTCTGCAACGTAAATTTTTGTAAAATTCTTAATTGAATGTACCCACCTTTTCCCAAGTATAAGTATAAATTTGTGTATAATACCATCGCCCGATTGTGAACTAAAAACAAACATGCAAAACATATCTTTTACATACAGTTTTCGCCAACATCACCACTAATAACTAGCATTAGGAGGGCTAAAAGACAATGGCTGAAGCATTCGTGGGTCCCCTCAAAGGGGTCGCCAAAGACCATCGGGAAAAAACATATTCAACTGTAAACAGACACAGGGAATTAATGTTATTTACTCGAGTTTTTATCTTTTTGTTTCAAGACTTAACTCTGCAGAAAAGAAATAAAAATATTAATCATTCAAAAACTTACATATTACATAAATATGGGAATATACATTTTTTTTCTTTTAAAGAAAACAGTGAAAATATTGAAAAAATTATTGACTATGAATTACTGAAAACACAAATGACAGAAACTTGATAAACATTAACAAATACAAATGCCAGAAAACTGACAAATAACAGAAAACACAAATGAAAGAAAAGCATTGAAAAAAAACAACCTTAACAACATACATAAACAGAGAAATAAAATGACTAAACTAAACAGAAGAAAAAATGAACATCCATGATGAACATCTACACATGTCTGGAAGATAACCAGCAAGTGAAACAGAAAACAGACCATCACAACTGCACAAAAGACAGAACATGTAACGAAGTGGGACAGAGACAGAATTTTTCTCTTGCATGCTTTCTAAGTGATTCTATGAGCATGCTTATGAAGACAGAGAGAGGATGGAGAAAACGGTTGAAGCCCCTGAAGAAATCTCGCCTGAAAGGAATTAGTTTCATTTTTGTGCCAGGACCCTCTGGGGTAAGAGGGAATGAGTGAGCGGATTGGCTTGCTGGTAGGGCCATGGTAGGTACAGGAAAAGCAATAAGCCGGGCCGACATTGTCAATGCTCTCCCGGAGGCAGGACGAGAAGATGATTCAAGAGACAGCGTTGAATCGGTAACACTCAAAAGATTACAAGAACTTCATGTTAAAGGAGGTTTTGCCAACATAAACACAATACTGGTAGCCAAAGAAGAATAGTAAACCAACACAGAACTGGTGTTATCAGTCAGCACAGGCTGAGGGATATGCTGAAGATGGGATCCGAGCACTTAATGGACTTGTCCGACGTGCAGTGAGGATAACCTGTTGATCAACTAGCTAACTAAAAAGATAAAAAGCTGGGAACAGCCATGATTCCCAACAACACATGGCAAGGACTACAAGAAGAAACTGTATGGTGATATTTAAGAACATCTACAAATGTCCTGAGACCGAAGACATACCTTTAGAACTGCCATTTACATCCTGTCCGATGTCGACCCGGTTGGGGTCACTGACTGGCGGGGGATCCGGCCCAAATTTCTCAAAGTGGATCACGACTCCACACTGAACCTTCTGCACCAGGGACTCGATCGCTGCATTCATCATCTTCTGACTGTACACAGCATACGACCGACCTTGTCAAACACAAATAAATACAATATAACTCTACTGTACTTATCTTCTTTCTCCTTTAACAATATTTATAGAGACCACTGGAGATGGGTAGCGCTGCCGGAACTGCGGTGTCTGTGCTTTGCTGTGAGACACTCTCAGCAGGCAGCAAGCCTTTCTGCGGAGAGATTTGGAACCCAATGGGATAAAACCAGGTTGGTGCAAAGAAGATCCTCTCAAATTTACATATGGGGGGTGGGGTGTGTGTGTGTGTGTGTGTGTGGTCAACCACAACACAACAGGAGCTGCTGTGGTGTAGCGGCTAGACGCTCGCCTGCAGATCCGAAGGCCGTGGGTTCAGGTCCGGAGGGAGTTGGACTGTTTTTAAAAATGACCTTGGCTCACAGGTTAGGGGTTAGGGTTAGATGTGTACCAGGCAGATTCCTGGGAAGTAAAGGCGGCTGGCGTGATGGCGTATAATATATGAGTTTAGCAATATATACCCAATATGCCTCAAAGCATGGAAAGGAGTTATTTACTTTCAACTTTACAACACAACGGGCCAACTAGGGGGAAATAATCCACAAATGCAGGAGACGACCTACCTCCGGTCACTTCACACATGACATCAATGGCAGCATTCTCTGCCGTCGGGATGTATGGAAACCCAGATACATCTGGCGGGACACTGGCCGGCAGACGCAAGACCAGGCTGAATATCCTCTGATCCCATCGGAATGGTTCTTTGGTCAGTTCTGCTCCGGGTACAACTGAGTTCATTGGAAGATTGAGCTGTGAACGCAAATGGCAAAAATGAGTCAGCAAACTAAATGATCACCAAGTCAATAAAAAAGAAAGAAATTATGATAAGCACTGGCAAGGAAACAGCTGTATTGTAAAGCTTGAATAAATTATTAAACTTAAAATTAAATTGTCATAAACATCTATATATTTTCGTGATTTATTGAAGTGGGTTATGGAGAGTTAGAACATTAGTGAAAAATCTGGAAGCGGCAGATATGTGGTTTTATAGAAGAATGAAGACAATACCCTGGACAGATAAAACAGTAAAGATGACGTCTTGAAAGAAACTGGCCCACAAAGAGTTCTGACTGTCTACGTCAGAACTAGACAATCTGCATTCTTTGATCGTTGTCATGAGAAGGAGAAAACTTGAATATAGTGTGACAGTAGGAAAGTTGGAGGGCAAAAGAGATGAAAGGGAGACAGAGAGAAGATGCTGAACAGTCTGACATCATAATTAACATAACCCTTGACCCACTAGGGTCGTGGAAGTGTATTAATGGAAGCACTAGCACATAAAACCTGCCATCTTTCTCTGTCTTCTGCTTGACGAATAAGTGTATAAGGTTCTTCTCTGTCATCGTCTTCTTCGACCAATCCCCCAGTATTCCTTGAAGTACAGTCTTTGCAATCGAATCATGTCTCACCGTGCCCAAACCAAGCTAGCTTGCGACATTTCACCACTGCCATTTGACATCAAAGCATGTTCATATGTGTCAGAACTGACTAAGAGTACATGATCCAGAAGGCTGAGGAAAGACATGACTATCAACCACTATCAGATGAAGACAAACACATTTTAACTTCTAATATTAAAACACAAGCCAGTGAAAGTTGGAAAACCAATAACGATACGGAATGCTTCTAGCAGATTTTGCAAAAATTGAGGAGGCCCATATTATTGCCTATGACGCTTATACTTTTTCCCACAGAAACTGAAAAACCAAAACTTCTGGTTGGATTAAATTCCCCGCAAATGTCACTTTTCCGACTTGCCTACCATGACCTGTTTATGAAGTGTATATTTAATGAAACTTGCTGAGTTTATGCCTGCGAAAACGTTCAGGAGGTCCGGATATTCATAAATTAACTAACAACAGCATTTAGAGGGGTTCTGCAGTCTGCAAAATGGCTTTTTTAAAGCCAAGATGACGTCAGATTTTTGTGGTTAAGGTCTGGCATGAGTCACCCAATACGTGTGTTTTTAAGGCCCTGGAGAATGCATTAAATCAAATTCTTCACCCTGTTATGTCCTTATTGATTACTCCTTGAATTTATCTTTAAATATTTAGAAAAATAATTTCAAATGTAAATATATTTTTAAAGAATTTATTAGTGACCTGTGTAACAAATGTCGCGGTTTACATATTTGTTTGCGAATTATAATGGAGTAATGACCCATTTTCTCTCAAGGAGAAATGGTTAACACAAGTCCCTGACAGAGAGAGGGAGAAGTTGATGTAGTTCATTATCGGTCACCGCCATCACATTCACTGCTGTCCGACCTGTCCTGGTTCTGAGCATAATATTTTCTACATGGTACTTTTAGGACAAGCATGTAATGAAGGTTATGCCCAGGTATTTCATTGCATTCATTCTTTCAATGTCTATATCGCATATCCTGAGTGGCTTAGGTGTACTGACAATCTAGGTAATCAAAGGTTACCAGATGGTGCTAAATTAATATCCTATCTTAAACAGGGAAAATCCACAGGTCACGGGACAGTATCATATTTCAGGGGGTGGTATATAGGCTGCATGCAGTCGTGGGACCTAGGCTGTACTCTCTCGTGGGACATAGGTGGGTTGCGGTTAGGGCCAGTGATAGACGTTTTGGGGTCGTTAAAAGCATCAGAAAGCCGGGAAACCCAGTCTTACCACCCTCTAAAATGTTGGACTGACCTGTGACAGGATATTAATAAAGAACCTACTAGAACAAAAGAAGCCTTTGCCGGGTTTGGCTGTGCTTTTGATTCCTGGCACCACTTAATAAGTTACTTGTAGTTAATCTTGAGGGTGTAATTTTATACCAATTTCTTCCTTGCCGATTCTGAAGAAACCAAGGCAAACACTGCAAAATGCAGATGGACAGGATAAAGGTCTCCAGATCCAGACTGACCCCCCCACTGATAGCCTATGTCCGCAGTGTGTGGGCTCCGGGATCCCAATTTGGTGGAGAGAGAGATAGACCCACACGCACTCAACCAAGCACACTGTAAAAGTGGGCGTTTTGCTTAACTGGATGGATTGCACCATAAGATGCAGATATCGCAGCTTTGCTGCACTTTCAAGCTGTGACTATGTTACAGCGGTATCGTCGCTTACACCTTCCACTGCCAAAGAAAAATGCATTATTTTACCTTCCATTAGAACACACCATTTGGTTTACAATTTGAACATAGCGAGAGAAGAAAAAACTTAACAATGAAGCAACAAAGCAGAAAATATGTGATACCCTCTCCAGTGTAACCATTACCTGCTAATGCTTACACAATCAAATTTGTCCCACCTTGCCGCTGCCTTGTTGTAAACCGTAAAACAACATGTCAACTGCCCTTTTAGCTTTTTCAGCGCCGAGTAACATCATCCCTTCATTTTGCTCCACAGCACAATGTGATTTCTTAAGTTTACATTTAGTTACAACAAACTAAAGAAATCTGGCTTTTCTAATAACTGTGTATTGCCACTTAGGAAAAAAATGCATTTCTACTTGTCTATCGCAGTTATTTCTTCACTTTAGCATCTGCAGTGAAACCTTCTGGTAGAGAAAGAGTCTGAATGCAGAAGAAGAAAAAGAAGACTGGGACAATCTAAACGGCAATCCTTCACGCTTAATAAGTTGAAACTCGGTTCCCAGAGGGTTCCCAACTTTCTTCTTATTCTTTGTTCACCGACTATAAGCACCAGCAGAAATTCCTGGCTGTTCGTCCATTTAGACTTTGGCTTCAATAATCCAGGGTCTGAGTTTTGCATGTACAGCTGTTTTACTGGCTTATTTGTGTGAGGTTGTTTGTTCCTTGCCGCACGTCTAAGGCAGCCCCCAGTTAGCTGACTCTTATGTCATGCTTGTTGGGAAAGCAGTGGATCTATTCTTGTCCCAACAATGGGGTCCCAGAACCCACACAGGGAGGATTCCCTACCATACCTAGAATACAATGGAAAGCTTAAAGATATTAAGTGATATCACCTCCGGTTGTATCCCGCTCGTTGTGGTCAGGTGACCACCATCTGTGATCACAATAATGAGTGTTGATTCATTGTAGAATGGACTCCGGCCCTAGGACAATTGAAGATTTTTATTGATTATTTAAGACATGGAAGTTCATCATTGACAAATAATAAATATATTAATGAGAAATGTATAAAAAAAATTCTGCTAAGAAATAAAGTAACCTCTTTGCCCTGAGACGCTACAAAACCGACACTTCAGTAAATTGAATATTCCTACTTTAGAAGATGTTGCAAAACCAACCTCAGCATGTTTTGGCTGTTTGTGAGTTTGCTTGGCTTTATATGTTTAGTAGTTTGCCATTGCTTTCTCAATCAACAGCTTGATATCAAAATGCTCTGCTCGCAGCTGGAATCGAACCAGATGTTTTGAAATCACATACTGAGACTGCAATGCCTAAGCCACAAACGCCAACTGTATGCACATTATTTTTTTTTTTTAATCCGGCCTCAATAATGACAACAGGAAAGCTGGAGGTGAAGAGACAGGATAGAAGCTGATAGACAATCTGACATCTTTTTGTGGGATCTAGGGTAAAGAAAGGAACAAATGCATCCATACTTCAAGAAATTAATACTGCAGAAGGTTGGTTATTTTAGACGATAAAACTTGGAAAACTGAAATATTTTGGTCACTTGAAACGTCAGGAAAGTTTAGAGAGAACAATAATGGAAGGGTATATGCCTGGGAAGAAAGGAAGAGGAAGGCCAAAGAGAAGATGGGTGCAGGATGTGGCGGATGATCTCCAGATGGGTGTATCAGATGCAGGACATCTTGCTGGTGATCGAGCAGTTTTCTGGGGGGTTGTTATGGGAGCAAAGTTATGCAAAAGACTGACGGAATCAGCACTAGGCAGGTGATGCGATGGACATCATGATGGCCACCTTCTCTTGCCAGTACACACTCAAGCCATGGTCATTTCTTTTAAAAGTCCGGTCAAAATGGACGTTAGGCAGCGGCACTGTTCAAAACAGAGGCAAATTTGTTGCTTCTGCCGGACGGTGGCCGATGCATTTTTGCTCCATTTGTAGACTGGATATAGTTTCGTCGCCTAGCTTCTGAGTTTAATGCATGGCGTGACCCTGTGAGCTGCGGATTACAATTGGAATGTTTTTTCGACTGTGACCACCGTGTTGGTGTGAATTGTAGATCCAGAAAATGGCGTGCAATGTTGGTGGTGCCAGTATGTGATTAAAATTGATCGCGTGGGCAACTGCTGATCTGTTGGCGACTTCTGCTACCATCAATGATGAACTGCAATTCTAATACTGTGATAAACATTCTGTGTGTTTTTCGTTGGCACAGGAGCGGAGCAAAGATGGGGTGAACTGTTGCTATGAAGCTGAAACTAAGACTACCAGACTATTAAAAGTCCGGCTTGGTTAGGATTTGTCAGACAGATAGATGGATAGATAGACAAACAGATAAAGATAAGAGTGTTACTATAATTCTCCTCAGAGTTGTTTCACAGAGGGATGCTAAAAATTCCTTCACTCAATCCGTGCTGTCTTTACAATGAAAGTTGGCTGCAACATATCTCCCACACTCTCTGTCTCTTGTCTTAGAATGCTTTTCATCCAACTTGATGTTGTCATACCACTTGTGTCATTAGCTACCTCTTGCCTCTGACATTTCATGGCAGTATGGTTTTTAAAATACTTTTAATAAGAGTTAACACAGATCTGGGCTCCTGAAGTTATTAAAAATGTGGTACCTTTTGGTGTGTATTAGTACCACAACCCCCCCCCCCCCCCCCCCCCCCCCCCCCCCACTTTGGTACTTTTCGCATACACAAAAATTCGGAAGCACTGGTTGTGACCACTGGAAAGATCTGACGATGTAGAGATAGAGAAAGACAACGCCAAAATATTCATGACAGCCATTTGCCACGACAGGGGGAGGCTGGTAGGAACGCTCTTGGACATCGCATGTTGTAGAGAGGCATGATCGCCCCTGCCAGTCAGTAATAGCATTTGATGACTTCACTTATGATCCGGACAAGAAAAGGTCGAGTCAACAAACTGAAGCAAAACGGCAAATAAGCAACTGGGGATTTCTGATGGATCAGAGGATTACCTGCCCATAAGTCTCAATCCCACTGGTCATTCTATTCAAATTCAGCAGATCAAAGGCGTGTTTCAGCGAGGGTCCCATGGAGGTCAAGCCGGAAGCTTTCAGATTTTTCAGCTCGGAAGCAAAAGTCAGGTGACTCTCTTTCCATCCAGCCTGTAAGAAAAAATGAACTTTGTTAGCTAGAACGCACTTTATATTGTAAATCCAGCAACTTTCCATCCAGCCTGTAAGAGGAAATGAACTTTGTTAGCTAGAACGCACTTTATATTGTAAATCCAGCAACTTCCTTTCATCCCGTTGTTGTTAACGTTCCTTTCATCCGGTTGTTGTTAACGTATCTTTCATCCATTACTAACATTGTATCACTAGTTACGGATAGAGATGTGAATCTGCAACCATGGTCAGACTGCCATAACAGCAAGTTAAACAGGGTGTGGCCAAATAAGAACACTACGCAGGTAGCCAAAGAAGAAGAATAAACCAACACAGAACTGGTGTCGTCAGCCGCTACACGCTGCGGGACTTACTAACTATCAATAGTTATGGGTGTGCCTAACTTCTTATCCCCAGTTATGTAGTTACCTCACTATCCCTCCAGATAATTATTATAAATAGTGTCAACTGTATTTCCAATTTAAATATTTTGCTATTTATTATTGTATATGCAATCATTTAAGACAACTGTGGTATCTATATTATTTGCATGAGAATTTATATCCATTTCATTACTTTTCAAAATTATTTTTTACTTTCTTGAAACCTATATATGAATATAAATTCTAGTTCTTAACTAAACAGACTACTCAAAAAAAAAACTTTATTCATGTAAAAATATTTATGCCGTTCCAATATGGGGCGCAATTTTGTCTTTTTTTTTTTTAAAGCCCCAGCACGGCTTTTGTAGGGGATCCTAATATAACCTAATGGTCGAAAGGGGTTTTTAGGACTTGTGCCCGGGTAATTCTCATCTGACTGGTGGCACTTTGTGTCACCGGGTGTTGGTTGCTCCTTGTATGGTCCCGATGGGGGGTTGAACAATACACACACCTATAACAACTATAACAAAACTAGCTTATAACCGGGATATATCGTTTCTGGATTTTAGTTTATCTATGGGTTACACATCAAGAACTGACATCACAGCCCTCAGGACATTTTTATAAGTGCTCAGTCACTTTAACAGCCAATGAAGAGTTCCAATAAAAAAAAATAAAAAAAACCTACTGACATGTTAGAGGGCAGTAAACTGATTGTGCATGCAATATTCAAGTTCTGCAACAAGATTAAAAGTCCAGAAGTGGATAAACAACCAGAACTTTTCGGCAGAGTTTACAGCCGGCTAACGTGATAGAGACCAACATTGGTAAAGAAACCTGAGAGATATCAGCTGCAGACCGACTCCTATGGAGGCAGTCAGTGAAAGATGGTCGCACTTTGCAAGAGGCCAAATGCAGCAAGCTAGAGATATGTCAGAAAAACAACCTCAGTATAACAGTTTCGGCTATCCTCAGAATAATAGTCCCAAATTATCGAGGCTAAGAAAATACCTTAACAGGGCCTCAATCATTTGTACATTGTGGACTTCTATCCGGCGAATATACCGCATGAAAAACTCCTCCGAATAACAGACCCAAATCATCAAGGATGTTAGCAGTTCCGACACTGAGCGCTAGGTTTAACAACCCCCTGGGTCCTAGATATAACTTCTCTCCTGGGTACTATGTTTAGCTTCTCCCCTGGGTCCTATGTTTAACTTCTCCCCTGGGTCCTAGGTTTAGCTACTCCCCTGGTTCCTAGGTTTAACGTCTTCCCTGGGTCCTATGTTTAACATCTCCCCTGGTTCTTAGGTTTAACGTCTGCCCTGGTTCCTAGGTTTAACATCCCCCCTGGGTCCTAGGTTTAACTTCTCCCCTGGGTTCTAGGTTTAACTTCTCCCCTAGGTCCTAGGTTCAACTTCTCCCCTGGGTCCTAGGTTTAACTTCTCCCCTGGGTCCTAGGTTTAACTTCTCCCCTGGGTCCTAGGTTTAACTTCTCCGCTACGTCCTAGGTTTAACTTCTCCCCTAGGTCCTAGGTTTAACTACTCCCATGGGTCCTAGGTTTAACTTCTCCCCTAGGTCCTAGGTTTAACTACTCCCCTGGGTCCTAGGTTTAGGATTAGTTTTAGGGCAAGGAGTATTGCAATTACGACAATGCACCCAGAATCTGTCACAACAGTGGATCCGCAACACTGTCAATTGAAGGATTATGGATGGAACATATGCGGACATGACATTACCACGGCGGCACTAGTCGCGCATTGTTTAATGAATATTTAGCGGCACAGTCACAAACATTGATGCCCTGAGGATATTTTTTTAGCCTTGATAATTTTGGACCGTTATTCAGAGGATAGCTATAGTTTCAATATCTGTATAGTCGCCATGGTCTAGACCAAGAAACCGCCATGGCCTAGCAGCTAGAGGCTGGCCTGCAGATTGGAAGGTCATGGGTTCGGGCCCTGATGAGGACCGGATTTTTCCAAAAATGGCCCGGCTCTCAGATCGACCCAGCCTTGAGTGGGTACAAGGTACAGTCCTGGGAAGTCAAGGCTGGCCACATCACCCACCAAGTGCCTTTAGGTCTATAAAATATAGGTCCAGTCCTATATACCCAATAGGCCTGAAAGGCGTGGAAAAGGGTTGTCTACTTTTACTTTTTACTATTTGGCAGAAACTCCCGCACTGGACTTTATGAGCAGATGCTGTTCCCAAAACCCGTGGCACAGATATATTATCCCTAGGAAGTGAAGGTTCCCTACCCATCTCCCAACCCAATCAATAAATCAGGTGCCACTTCAGAATGAAGGCTGGGTTGCAATGGATCTTCCCTAAACAGTTTTGGCCCTGCAAGTATGTACTCTCTTTGACAAAGTTTGAGACTTTTTTCTTTCAGCAACTCTTTTCACTTTTCTTTGCATTCTTCTAGGCTCTTCAGAACCTCTGTATTTAAAATTTCTTTCTGTCTCAAAGTAAGTGTGAAAAACTAAATTGTTGGATATAATAATTAATCTGGAATTTGGCATTTTAGACAAGGTTGATACAGGGTAAACTTTCTGTACAGCTACATAAACTCGACAAGATCAGCTGAAAACAAGGAACTGCTGACCTTTGACCCATGACCCGCAAACTTGACCTCGTTGCCTGGTAGAGATTTAACCCTTCCCATCAGCCCTTGCGGTTTCCGAGGGCAAAATGGCGACGACCATATCAAACAGAAAAAGCAGAACCACAACTTTACAAGTGGACATCTTAGTTCGACAGAGCAATAACATAACATTCTGGACAATACAAAACTAATTCAACAACAGCTGTTGAAATGAAACAACTGGGAGGAACCGATCAGCCGCTGTTGTTTCGTTACCTTGACGTTCGCTGGAGGATCTTCGAAAGTCAGAAGCATGTAACGGTCCCATCGACTGCTCGCATCGCGGGATCGGCTCTACAAGAAGAAGAAAATGAAAAAAAATAAATACAAACTTGACACTAACCTGGTGTGTTTTGAAACATGTTAAATATTTAATAAACTTATGGATTCTATTGTAACCGTGTTTTGTTGACAATACTTCCTTTGTTGTCCGCGCCCAGAAAATGTTTACCTTCATAAAACTTTCAACAGCAGCCTTGGCCACATCAATCAAAGCGGTGCCCAAATACGTTCGCTGGTTCATAGACGCGCTAGTATCGACAAGGAAAACGATGATAGTCATTACGGCATGAATAACCCGGTGCTTTTGCGGGTAAATAAGCCAGCGGTGGCGCAGAACAACGGAGATTTGAAGGAAAAGAAGCGATAAGGTCCTCTCTCATCGACAGCCTGGACTCGACTGGGGCTCTCGACGAGCAGACGGCACGCCAGCAAACTTGCCCACGTGACCGCCGCCCTCCCGCCGCTCTCATTGGCGGATATTTTTAGCAGGGAGTGTCTTATTTTCTTCTTGCAAAAATTCGACACAATTTCATAAAATTTTCTTCCTTTTACAAATTACAGATGTATTAACATTAGTTATGCAATATAATATTCTATTAAAATACAATAACTAAATACACTATGCAATTTCTCTTTAATTTTGTGTAATGTGTTGAAGATGTTTAAAATGAATATGTCCCTTCATAAACAAATGGGATATGGCATCGTCTGAATACCGTAAACCTGCTAATGTTTCGTTACAATATTCTGTTAAATTATAGCAACAATATAATTAAAACGAGATTTTAAGGAAATGTAAAGAGTTCTTAAAATGAATATACCACACCCCCTCCCTCGCAATTTTGTGTGCTTACTTTACTCCGGGGACAACTTTTGAGCAGTTCCACAATCTTTCCTTAAAAAAAAAAACTATTACAACACTTATTGAAAAAAAAAATAGCCTTATTTTATCTATCTATATTTTATTAACCCTCAAATTACATCTCACAAAGGGATGACTAGATACAATACCATTAAACGACTAATCATCTAAAAATTGTTATTATTTTGAAGTAATTAAAAAAAAAAAAAATAAACGTGTCCCTGCACAAACAAATGTGGTATGGCATATTTTGAATACTTTACACAGGCTAATATTTCATTACTTTTATTCATGATATTTTACTACATTTAATTTTAAGAAAACCACATTTCTACGTAAAACCAATTAGGTTATTTAAATGAACAATAACCTCCTAATGGGAGCCAATTTTAGTTATTTTGAAGCCCTACTCTGGTTCTTGCCAGGGGCCACAATATAGCCCGGCAATAAATTTAGTCTAATGGCTGAACGCGGTTTCTTGGACCTCTCCACGGGTGATCATCATCCACATGGTGGCACTTTGTGTCATCGGATGCTTATCGCTTGAGTAATGTCCTTGTGGGGTAAAATATACTATTACTACGACAGCCATTTACGAATTTAAAGCAAGTTAAAGATATTATTTTTTTAAGTCACTAAGCGACCAAAAAAACACTGCATCTTCCGAATGCGGGGACATACAAATACTAAAATATAACGATCTATAAAATTCAAGAAAACCGCATTTCTTCTGGAAACCTTTCTGATTTAAAAAAAAATTAAACGAATATATTATGAATAAATTCATGCCTACAAAACAAACTGGTAATTGTAATGTCTTAATATGGTAAACCTTATAACTTTTCATGTTATAAAAAAAAAGACTACTAAAATAATAAGAGAAAATGTAACAAATAAATTACGTGTTTTTTGCTTCAGATAATATAGTCCATGCCGCTTGGCGATGGTAGTAATGTTTTTCCACAACCTTCTCTCGCGTGTACTTTCAGTCAGTTCTGACACATGATCCTCCATGCCATGATGTCAAACTGTCTATCGCCGAACACAAATTCGCGACGACAGTAACGTCACACAATGTCGACTTTATAGATCAAGTCTCTTCTTTCATTATCATCATCATCACGTAGCAGGTCCTTTGCAGAACGTCGCTCTCATCACGGTCCGCCTGCTCTCCCGCCTCGTGTAATTTTATATTCAAGAAGTCACTTATATAATGTGCCCATCTTCGTATTGGTCGACAAATGCACTCCGTCCTGGTACTATGCCTTCTGCTATTATTTTTTCCATGCACGATGTAGGCGATATCAATATTCCACTTGCCAGCTTGGCTTCCGGTGGCATTTTCTGGTATTAATTTTTAACTACTATCAGCAGTTATAAAACAGAGAAGATGGCGATTTATTGGACACATTCTTCTTCTTCTTCTTCGCGTTCACCAGCTGTACACTCTGGCGAAAGGTTCTGGTTGCTCGTCCACTACTGAACTGCAGTCCTGCTCCAGAACCTGAGTGTTGCTTGTGCATCAGTTTTACAGATCTCATTCTCTTGAATACAGACTGTTGGTTCCTTGCCTCTCCGACAGATGCACTCCAACTAAGCAAGCTCCCAAATTAGTCGACTCTTACGACATGCTTCTGGGGGAGGCAGTGGGTCTATTCTTGTTTTCCCCACAATGGGGCCCCGGAACCCACAATGAGGCCCCGGAACCCACAAGGGGGCCCCGGAACCCACAATGGGGCCCCGGAACCCACAATGGGGCCCCGGAACCCACAATGGGGGGACTGGACACATTCTGGGAAGAGGAGAACACACTATCACCAAACAGGCACTGAAATGGGAAAATAAGAGACTAACAACGAGGGAAGCCAAGAGAAACCATAAAACGAACGTTCTTGAGGGAAACCAAAGGTGCTAGATTGGATTCCATCCATGACATGTGACTGCACATGATATCACGGAATGGAGGAATAGATTGCAGCCCTGTGTGATGTATAAAGGCACAATATGACAATGAAAGATGAAAACAGGCATGCTACAAAGTGACAAGCATCACTTCAGAGGTCCCGGGTAGTTAGTATCCTTTTGATATTTTCTCCAGATCATTCCAGTGTGTTGGGAAATGATCAAGCAGATAGACTGGATGGCTCTGCCCCACTTGGTGGTGAACTGATGTATGACAAGCTAGATGTTGTGCTGGCCCTTTGGGAGCGGGTGAACAGTGCGGAGGCGCAGATAGATCATTACGGTCTGAGGAGAATGGCGCTGCGAGGAGTTACCAGGGGATCTGGCAGACGCTCAACACTGAGAGGAAGGATGAGACGGATATATAATCAGACGGTTACTATTACCATCGGAATTGGAACTCTTCGATTGCGACTAAAGATGGGGACTGAGCACCTATGGGAGTGTCCCGAGTGCGGTGATGTCGATTCTTAATTCAACATTCAACAACAGGACAATAATTGAAATAGTTTTTAACTACACAGAACGTGGAATCTGATCTCCATGTATATTTCGGTATCCTATTTTGGAACAAACAGGAATATATCAAATGCCCCACCCGCTCTAAGGAAGCTACCGTGGGGTTGGCGGCAAGACGCTCGCCTGCGGATCGGAAGGTCGTGGGTTCACGTTCTGACGGGGTCGGACTCTTCTGTTTCCAAAAATGACCTGGACTCCCAGGTCGATCCATCCTTGAGTGGGTACCAGGTCCAGTCCTGGAAAGTAAAGGCGGTCAGCGTTTTGCTGACCCCATCACCTACCAAAGGGACCTTGGAAGAGTGACCTTTACCCCTCTAAAAGCTGTTGTAAAAGTCGACTAAGGTGAGGTTTTCTGTAATCGGATGTGCCGGAACGAAAGGGGCAATATCGCAGCCTAGCTGTAAAGGTTAAAATAGTCTCTCCTCACAGAACATGTGTCCGCCTGCCGAGTGCCACAAACAAAGCACGAACTATAAAGCTTCGACGACGATCCACAATGGTCTTTCACAAAATTGCACTCTTGAACCAAACGAAGAAGCCGTGGAACGAACTCATGACCTTCAGACAGCGAGGCAAACCATTTGCACACTTCGGCAGAAGAAAAAAGAAGAAGAAGAAGAAGAAGAAGAAGAAGAAGAAGAAGAAGAAGAAGAAGAAGAAGAAGAAGAAGAAGAAGAAGAAGAAGAAGAAGAAGAAGAAGAAGAAGAAGAAGCAGAAGAAGAAGAAGAAGAAGAAGAAGAAGAAGAAGAAGAAGAAGAAGAAGAAGAAGAAGAAGAAGAAGAAGAAGAAGAAGAAGAAGAAGAAGAAGAAGACAAAGAAGAAGAAGAAGAAGAAGAAGAAGAAGAAGAAGAAGAAGAAGAAGAAGAAGAAGAAGAAGAAGAAGAAGAAGAAGAAGAAGAAGAAAAAGTAATCTGTTTGATTGTCTGGAATAGTGATGCATAACTTGTAGAAGCTCTACAGTAATTTGTACATAATTTTTGTAATGCTCACCAGCGCATATTTCGCAAGTGGTTGACGGTTTGCAACGTTCACGCTCTGACAACGTAGCACACAGTTTTACTCAAACTACATTTTCACTCACGTAAATCGATTTAGTTTCATCAACATTTTTTTTATTCATAAAACTAAACATTTATAACACACCATAATATTGATACGTCTTCAGTTAGTAACATGTAATATTGTTTCCATGTATCTGTGTTAAAATATTTAAACGTTGTTTAGCTATGCGTTTTATATTTGCCTAAAAAAATATAGTATATTACAATTTGAATTCCTTCTCTATATTTATTTTACTATTTTAAACACGACCCTCCGCGGCACCAGAAAGGAACACTACACACATTTCTACCTGTAGAAAGATAATTAGAATGACCCACATTTCAAATCTAGCTAAAGAATTGAGAGCCTTGAACACACCCCAGATGGATAGACGAGCTATTGACTCGCAGGGCTAACGAGCGAGTGCCGAGTCGCTAAAGAAGTAGTGGGAAATAAAGCTGTTATCAATGTTGCAGTTGAGCAAAGCAACAAACATCATTTCTAATACGTCTGCAGTTGTGAACACCGTGTCTTTAAAATGTCAGTGGATCATTTCACATTTATAAATCATGAAATGGGTTACAGTGAGATAATTCAGTTTGTTTCTTCTTCTCGACTTCATTGTTTGTGATGATTATATCATTTGTTGAGTTCTTAGAATTAGCTACGTTTTTAAAAATTTATTGTTTATTCCATGTAGTTGCAAATCAAACATTTAGTCTCTTCGCGTAGGTTGTTTGATCCCATGTGGGAGGGAGGGGGGGGGGGAAGAAGAGGGTTACTGTCTCCTAACAAGCATGTCGTATGAGATCACTAGGTAGGGGTGCTTCTTTTGAAGTCGGAGTGCCTGAATCAGCCCTTGGCATGCAAATAACCAGTTTCTGTAAAACGGATCA